ATAGTGAATTAGTTTTGGTAGATAAATTTAAAAAATCAATTAGAATTTTAACTTATATGGGTAGCTCTGTACACTTTGGTTGACTCAAATATAGAATTTTATACTTGTCACTTTCCAAGAGTGACTACAACATAGGTACTGTGAGATGTGTTTACTTTATGAAATACTACAGCATCTGCAGAAAAACCATGTTGTTGTCACTGTGACTGACCTGTCACCTGGTGATGATAAATTTGGTATTATTATGCCAGTTTTGGCACCTTTGTATTCATACTTTATGTCATTTTATTTACGAATAATAATTTTGGAACACTATGTACTAAAGGGCTTTTAATAGGTGCAAAAGTAATATTTTTTTTTTTACTCCTATCACCAGAAAATTTCAGTGGCCCATTAAATACTATGAGCATGGATATTTTATCAGTTTCAAAAAAAATAAAATAAAATAAATTGATTAAAACTATCAGTACTAAATACTTACCACCCAACCAGGAGGACAGGTACAAAGACCTGTCACATGGTCACAAGTACCACCATTCTGACAGCCACATTTGTTGCTACACTCATTACCATGTGTTCCTTCAGGGCATGGCCGTGAACAACTAAAGATGTGAAATATTTTAATTTAAATCACAATATTTTAATGCAATATGTATTCCCATTCAATTTTTGAAAATGGTTAAAAAAAAAGTAAATTATCACAAAAGTTGTCTTAAGTTGCAGACTTCTTGATTAAAAAAACTACATCTATAAAATATTACATACTTTATGACAACTTGTTTACATGAATGAAAAACAGTATTTATGTAAATTCAATACAAAGTTTAGACTTTATATTTTGTGAGGAATTTTCTATAAAAGTAAACAAAAAATACTTATAATCCACTCAGATAAATATCTGTCTTTTTTTTTTTAAAGATTTTATATTTTAACACATTATTTTCTGAAAAGATATATTTTGGAAATTCAGCACAAAAAATCTAAAAAAAAGCATAACATTACATGAAAATACTATAACAATAAGAAAATGTGATAAACATCTTAATCCAATCAAATGAACTGGGGCTGATCAAAGACAACCACAACTCCTTTCTCTTACAAATATGTTACTCATTTTTGTACTTTCAGACCTTAACTACAGATGCACATGCTAAATAGATTGCACCTTTGGACAAGAGGCTGTGTTTTTACATAATATAATAAGATTCATTGCAAGATTTTTTCAAGCAGGTACATTAAAATAAAAGATGCCACTACTAGTGAAAGTATAAATTCTGCAGATCAAAACAAAAACCTATTGCTTACTCACAGTGATCCAGTAAATCCTGGAAGACAAGAACATGCTCCAGAAACATGATCACACGAGCCCCCATTCTCACAATTACAGGCCTGAGTACATTCATATCCATAGAAACCCTTAGAACAAGGAGTGGAGCAACTTGCACCCTGCCATCCTAAAGAATGCATATAGTAAGAGTTAAATACCTTTAAAATATGCATCAACTCTACAGAAACTTTAGAAATATACTTTCATTCAATAGGAAAATGTTTCCAGAATTTATTTATGTGATTTTCTTTGAGTTTTGTGTTTGTACAGGGAGAGATAAGAGATTGCAAACCACTCCTACACTCTTCATATGTTTGCAATACAGAATAAAAACACAAAACTGCAGAAAGAGATGCCAAGTTAATGATGTTTATAGTTAAAATCATAAATAATATTCAATGTTAAACTGGTACA